GAAGAGACAAAATAGCTCTTTGGGGTAATTTTTTTAACAAGGGTACTAATCCCATTCATGAGAGTAGACCCCTCATGACCTAATCACCTCCCAAAGACCCTACCTACTAATACCATTACCTTGCTGACTATGTTTCAACATATGAACTTGGAGAAGACACAAACATTCAGACCATAGCATTCCCTTTCTCCCCTGTGCCTTAAATAAGAAAGGAATAATTGTCATTACCCTTTCATTTATTTAATTTATAAGGATCCACACAGAACTGCACATACCCTATATTCCCTTAGCATTGCTGTCTAGCTTGCCCCTATTAAGTGAGTCATTATGTAAATATTTTAAACTTTAAGAGAATTTCTGGGTCCTTCACTAGAGAAAGGAAAGAAGATGTGAAAATGAAGAAATTGTATTCTGGGACAGATGGCCACACAGGCCTGTTACATGCATGTGACCCTCTGCCCTAACATATTTTCTTTCACATGATCAGTACTTTTTAACTATATCCCGTCACACAGAAGTACAACCAGGGATTGCGTGGGCTAACAGGCATCCTTTAAAAAGATTTCCGGATGGTGGTCATCCTTCATCTTGCTCCTGGGGGTTGAATATCCTCAAGCTTGTGTCCTACCCAAGCAAATGTTGAGCGTGGGCTAAATGTTAATCAGTGATGTCTGTCTGTGGGCAGTTTAACTCCAGATAAGGAAGGCTGTCTGAGAAGAAGGTGGGTGGACTCTAAAAATCTTAACCAAGAAGTCTGAAGAAAGTTCAGGGAATAGTTATCAGGGAAAGCCACAAAGGACTCCAAAATTCCTAAGAACCTTAAGCATGAATTCTTTTAGACTAGGAAGTATAGAAAAGGAGGGAATTTTCATTGGCCTGCTATGATTTGCAGCACATTTTTCTTCCTGAAGAAGTCATCTTGACCTTTGTGTATCCAGTTCATCTTCCTACCTTGGGAGGGAGTGAAAGAGCTTGCAAAATAGCCACCTACTTTTTTTCAGTTGGGTTGAATACAAAGGAATTGCATAGATCCATAGAAATATTGCCAAAAAGGCTAAATTTCTGTGACTATGTTCGACCCGCACAGAAATTTCTCAGAGGGGTGGAGAAAATAAATTATTGCTGCTTATTTATCTACAAACAGATAGACTTCTGCCCTAAAAGCAGATGGAATGGTGCAGGGTGGGGTGATAAGAGAGAAGCAAAAGAGGAATAATAATAATTCTCAAATGAAATGAAGCTTCTAAAAACTAATGAGGGAAACAAAAAAGTTTTTATAGTTTAGTTTGGAAGTGTTGGGCATTCTCCTCATGTCAGCTGGTCTGATAATAACAGAGGAGAGAGACTGGAGACATGTGGGTCCTCTCTTGCTTCTGTCTCAAAGAAATTCATGGTGAACTGGAAAGGGTAGAACACTATAGTTAAGAGTGAGTTGTTCCCATTGAGGATGGGAGTGACCATAAGCTAGTACCTAGTTGATTTAAATGGGTTGTCCAATTTCCTTGATTCTAGACATTATGAAGCTATTTAGCATCAGGATGCATCTCATAATCAATATGTATATTTGATATGGTAGGATATTTTCTCCTAAAAACTTGCTATGAATAACTGGCTGATTAGTCTCTTGATTATATCTTAGAATGTGGGAAAGAAGGTATTTCTCTTCAAGGGAGTCATACTCCAGATCACTGAAGACCTTTGTCAATTAAATTGTTGAACTGAAGAATTACAGTGAGAGATGCTGAAAGATTGAAAGTTGTGGAGGAAGTTACTAAAACTTGAAATGAGTAAATGTGGTTTGTATTTCCAATAAGAGGGTGGGTTCCACATACAGTAGATGAGGGAGTAGATGAGATTGATATTAATCCTTGGCAGTACTCTAGAACAGGAGGTCAGCAAGCTTTCTCTGTGAGGGACCAGAGAGTAAATAGTTTTGGCTTTATGGGCCATACAGGATCTTTCATGACTGCACAATTCCATCACTGTAGCATGAAAGCAGCCATAGACAATAGGTAAACGATGAGCACAGCTGTGTGCCAGTAAAACTTTATTTACAAAAGTAATTGGCAGGCCAGATATGGCCTACAGGTGATAGGTTCACTACCTCTTCTGTAGAATAAATTGTTAACTGGGTGTTTTTGTGAGTACTTAGGGAACTGGTGCGAACTGGGAACCAATCTGTGTTCTTTCAGAATAGAACTGGCTGGGGCAGTTCTTCTTCATCATTTTTCAGCAAGGTTAATGTTACACAAGATCAAAAGTATAGTTTATTTTTACTTCTTTGAGTCACTTGGCAGAGTATTTCAAAAGAAGCTTTTGTAGAAGATGGAAAAAAAACACGTGGACCACTGCAGTTAGGTAGTTAACTCTGTGGTGCCTGCTGTCTTTTATCTGATAAGAAGCACTGACAGATGACAATATAAGGGAGCAACAAGCAGGTAGATGCTAATGAACACTTAGTATGATTTCTTTAAGATGTTCTGTATTTTAGTTTTTGAGATAAAAAGACTTATAGTAATATATTCTGATAATAAACTTCCACAATTTGTATGATGGAATTCTATATACCAAAATCATACTGTACTTCTGTTTTGTTTTTCTTTTTTTGGAGATGGAGTCTTACTCTGTCGCCCAGACTGGAGTGCAGTGGTGCAATCTCGGCTAACTGCAACCTCCACCTCCCTGGTTCAAGCAATTCCCCTGCCTCAGCCTCCCAAGCAGTTGGGATTACAGGTGCACCCCACCACGCCTGGCTAACTTTTTTGTATTTTTAGTATAGACGGGGTTTCACCATGTTGGCCAGACTGGTCTCGAACTTCTGACCTCAGGTAATCCACCCGCCTCGACCTCCCAAAATGCTGGGATTACAAACATGAGCCACCATGCCCATCCTCATAATGTGTTTCTTAAAGAGCACCATAATTTATTTCCTACTGCCCCATTACTGAAAAAAGCTTAGGAACCACAGGTAGTGACCTGCTCAGTAAAATACTCTCTTTGGCTCTGAAATGTTCTGCATTTTTAATCAATGAATTTAATCATATAATGGCAAGTTAAATTTTTGATAATTCAAACCTCATCTTCATTACAGACTCCTAATAATTAACAAGCTTATAATTAGAATATTCATAAATTGTAGACCATCTCTCCTGGGCTCAGTGGTTAAAGCTTTATAGACAACACAGTATAAAGCAAGCCCTTTATCTCCCACAGTTTCCCAGCAATCCCAACATTTGGGACCCAGTGACAATTTAAGTCAGCACTAAACCCAAAATTCCTCAGGACCAAAAGTTTTAGTCACAAAGTTCATATACTTTTCCTTCCTAAGACTCAAACATATTTGATGTTATAATACTTTTTCACACTTCCCAGAAAACATCAATGCTGTTCTGGAATGCAACATAAAAAAGAATGGAAAAAAAAATCAGTCTGTGACTAGTAGGTCAAAGAGCACATGGGGCAGCAGAAGCAGGTATAATTGAATGAAAGCGTATCAGCTAGAACTCAGTATTTTAAGGAACAGAAAGCTCAGCTCAATCTGACCTGAACAAGGGAGAGGGAGGGGAATGTGGAGCAGGGAAGAGCTGGGATTCTTAGCAATTTATTAGCTTCTATAACAGAAAAGTTCAGAAATCTAGCAAGTTCCCAATGTCCCAGTTGTCACCAAGGTGAAGTACCTGGTTCTCCCTGCTCTGACTTCATGGTGTTGGCCTCACCCTCAGTTTTACACTGTGACCTTCAGCAGCTCTTCTCATTATGTTAGCCAAACAGCTATAGCCATTCATACCCTCACACCTTCAAGAGAACCTATGGAAGAGAAAGAAAGCCTCTTTTTCCCAGAAGCCCCAGGGAACATCACTTTTGCTTTCATTGGCTCTGATTGGTTTATTTACCAATTCTGAACCAATCATTGTGGCCAGTAGGTATAGTATGCTAATTGGCTTATGTCAGTCAAGACCCATCCCCAGAGCCTGAGGTAGTGACAGTCTCACTGGGACTGAAACAGGGAATGGGGTAAGGCTGTTTTCTCAAAAAAGATTTAGGATTCTGCTCCCAGGAGGAGGAGGGGTATAAAATGCCAGCCATCAAAGAGCTATGTACTACAAGAGCTGTGAGAAGTGAGAGCATAGAAGAAAGCCACCAAGGAGGAGATAGTAGATAGTCCAGATAGAACACCACAGCAATCTGATGCCCGCACCTACCTCTTCAGCTTTTAAAGCATCACCTAAATGATTACAGTGCACTGCTGATGTTCACAGTCACGACCCTGAGTCATCTAGGAAAGATTAAATTATGTTTGATTTACTAAGACAGGGAAGAAGTTAATGGATGTTAGAAAGGTTTGTGTATGTTTTAATAAATAACAGTGTTTTTAAAGGACCAAAACTAAGCCAAATGGAAAGTTATTTTTACCATATGAGGCTTTAAATCTTGTATTTTCTTGTACTTAGTCTCAATCTTACCTCATTAAAGGGTGCCATGTGTTTGACTGAAATATTTTTAAAAGCTGTGTTTTAGCTATGCTCAGTTTATATCTTAACAAAGGAAGTTTCAGTTGTTGATGAAAATGTTGTTTTTGCTTTTGTCCAGAATGCATACACAGCCACAGCTATCAACAGCACCAACTTCTGCACCTCAGCAAAGGATGCCTTTGTCATTCTGGTGGAGAATGCTTTGCGAGTGGCTACCATCAACACAGTGGGAGATTTTATGTTATTCCTAGGCAAGGTAAGACCAAGTATTTTTTTCTGCAACATACAGTAAAGTTTTGCATATATATATTTGCTCTTTTATTTTAAAAATATCCAGGCCACCAAAAAACTAAAAGTAAGTACTTAGAAAGTACTAAGGAAGCCCTTACTATGTGTCCAGCATTGTTATAAGTACTTGACATGTATTGTGTTCATTTAATCCCCACAATAAATTTTTAAGGTAAGTTCCGTTATTATCCTCATTTCACAGCGAGGGAAACTGAGGCATGGAGAGGCTAAGTCATGTGCCTATGTTTCTCCTTCTGTGTTGTTTTTTGTTGTTGTTTGTTTGTTTGTTTGTGACGGAGTTTCACTCTGTCGCCCAGGCTGGAGTACAATGGTGCCATCTTGGCTCACTGCAACCTCTGCCTCCTGGGTTCAAGCAATTCTCCTGCTTTAGCCTCCCAAGTAGCTGGGATTACAGGCGTGCGCCACCACACCCGGCTAATTTTTGTATTATTGGTAGAGAGAGGGTTTCCACATGTCGGCCAGGGTGGTCTCGAGCTCCTGACCTCAGGTGATCCGCCCGCCTTGGCCTCCCAAAGTGCTGGGATTACAGGCGTGAGCCACTGCACCCAGCCCTCTTTTTGTGTTTTGAACTGTAAAGAATTAGGAAAAAGTCTTCCTCCTGGTTAGTGGTACTGCAACTGGAGCCTGACTGCCTCGATTTCAGTTCTGACACTATCACTGGTAGTTGTGTGACCTGGGCAGGTTAGATAATCACTCTGTGCCTCAGTTTGCTCATCTGTAAAATTGGAATATAATAGTGCCAAACTCCTAGGGTCATGAGGTTAATGCATTGTTAATACATGTAGGGTATCTAGGAGAGTGCTTGACACATTTTAAGTTCTCAGTGAATGTTAGGTGTTGTCATTATTACTATAGTATTATGTATAAGCCCCTTTAAAATAGAGCTGTTAGAGAATAAGACTTATACTTTCCTTAGAAATGTCGAACAAGAGGCAAGTTATTCTATACTATTAAAATACTGCAAAATATTCAATAACATTTTAATTAGATTTCATTGTATCTGAGTTTTAAACCACAAAATATACAGAAAATTTTTGAATTGAGGAAAGAGAAAGACTTATACTACCACCACTATAACTAAGTAACATCATTTCTATATAATTCTTCCCATGTTTTTTCATCGGCTTGTATTTCTGTAGTATAAAAATCATAGCATACATACCTGTTGGTCCTCCCGATTTATCTTTACATTACACCATATACATTTTCCATCTTGTTTTGATAATCTTCACAATTATTCATTATTACCAGGTAAATATCCACCAAATACTATTTGTAAACATTTTCTTACTATTGAACCCTTAGGTTGCTCTAGCCAACTGTATTTTTTAAATGTTTTTGTAAAGAAAATGTGTTTGGCATGGAGAAGTATAGCATTGTGTGTGATGAAGTGGGTCGGTTCTCTACAGCTGATTCAGAAAGGCTTCACCATCTTTTATTTTTGTTTACATATTTATAATTTATCCCTACAGCTAAGAAAGATTAGAAGCAACTTAGGATAAAAGTATATATATGTATACCACACACACACTACACACACTGCTTTTGTTTTTTTTTTTTTCCAGACAGAGTTTCACTCTTGTTGTGCAGGCTGGAGTGCAGTGGCACAATCTTGGCTCACCACAACCTCCACGTCCTAGGTTCAAGTGATTCTCCTGCTTCAACCTCCTGAGTAGCTGGGACTACAAGCATGCCCCACCATGCCCATCTAATTTTTGTATTTTTAGTAGAGACGGGGTTTCTCCATGTTGGTCAGGCTGGTCTCGAACTCCCGACCTCAGGTGATCTGCCCACCTCAGCCTCCCGAAGTGCTGGGATTACAGGCATGAGCCATTGCCCACAACGCTTTTTACAAAGGGAAATAAGAAGCCATTTAGAGGAGTAAGGGAGATACTAAGTGGTAATATTAAATGATGATGATTTTAGTAAACTCTGATTAAGACACTTTGGGTACCAGGCACTGAGTGAAGGGCTTTTGTTAAGTGTTACATTTGGTCCTCCCCTGTAAGGTGAGCTACTAGTAGTGTTATCTTTGGTTTCCTCTACTCTAAAATAAAGTTTAGAGAACAAATTAAATTGGCCAGATTTAGAGAACTAGAATGTGGCATTCAAGCTCAGGTCTGTCTGACTTCTAAGTTACTAATCACTGTGTGCTATAATTGCCTCAGCTGACATTAAATTTGTCCTTGGGCCTTTTAAAAAAATTTTTTAAAAGCCTTTTGACTCAGTAATTCTGAGCTCACCTACTAAGCCCTGTTTTTTATTAAGAGTTTACAATATGAAGAAATGCATATAATGTAATAAATGAAAAAGCTGAGTAAAACTACTAGGCTTTAGTAGTGTTTAACAATGTTTATAAGAAAAAGAATGGAAATGAATATCTCAAGATGTTAACAATGATTGCTTTTGGATATTGAAATTATAGATAATTCCAAACCCCTACCCCACTTTATTGTAGTAAGATAATATTCTCTATATTGAGTGCGCATTATTTTTTTAACGAAAAATAAAAAGATGGGTTGGGTGCAGTGGCTCACGCCTATAATCCCAGCACTTTGGGAGGCTGAGGTGGGCAGATCACCTGAGGTCAGGAGTTTGAGACCAGCCTGGTCAATGATGTGGCGAAACCCCATATCTACTAAAAAAAATACGAAAAAAAAAAATTAGCCGGGTGTGGTGGCGAGCACCCGTAGTCCCAGCTACTTGGGAGGCTGAGGCGGAGAATCATTTGAACCCAGGAGGCAGAGGTTGCAGTGAGCCAAGATCGCACCACTACACTCCAGCCTGGGCGATAGAGCAAGACTCTGTCTAAAAAAACAGAGAGAAAAAAATATAAAGATGATAAGACACAATGTTCTAAAGTTGACTTTTTTTAGCAGCCTAGTGACCTGTCAAAACTTTTTCTTTGTTTATCATATCCTTTTATTCATATCTTTATAGAGTGCCTACTAGTAATGTGGAAAGGACTATTATAGGTCCTGGTTATATACTGATCAATACATAGAATTTAAAATCTAGTAGAGGGCCAGGCACGGTGGCTCACGCCTATAATCCCAACACTATGGGAGGCTAAGGTGGGTGGATCACTTGAGGTCAGGAGTTCGAGACCAACCTGGCCAACATGGGGAAACCCTGTCTCTACTAAAAGTATAAAAATTAGCCAGGCGTAGTGGTACATGCCTGTAATCCCAGCTACTCAGAAGCTGAGGCATGAGAATTAGTTGAATCTGAGAGGCGGAGGTTACAGTGAGCTGAGATAGTGCAACTACACTGCAGCCTGGATGACAAAGCGAGACTCTGTCTCAAAAACAAAAACAAAGGAAACCTAGTAGAAAAGGCAGTTTTGTATCCCTTTTTTCACTTGGTATTACATTATGAGCATTGCTTGTTTTCTTAAAACATTTCTAACTCTGGTTATACAACTGTTGTGTCATTTATTTAATCCTCAGGTTTTCTGTTTTTTACAGTTGAGCTGTGCTCAATTTTTTGCTAACCTAAAATTTGTATTTGTGTATAAATCTTGCCCACATCAATCCTTATTTCCTGAAGACAGAATCCTAGAATTAGAATTAATTAGGATTCTTGATGTGCATTGCCAAATTGTTTTCCAGAAAGGTATATTTTTAATAATGTAATATTTATAGTATTTCAAATGACCTCAAAAACCATAAAAGATGATAAATACATTTTTTAATTGAAAAATTCAAAAAAGAGAAAAATAAGAGGAAGAGAAATCTTCTGGGTTTCTAACATTTTAATATCAATGTTCTTTAGTTTTTTTTCCTAAAAATATAGTTCTGATCATAGAATACAGTAAATCTTTCGAAAAGAGTTTTTCATTACAATTAAATGGCTGCTAGCATGCAGAATTTGTTTCTAATCAGGGAGTTCAACTAATAGATCATAGTAAACATTATAAAACATGATGCCAGAAATGAATTGTTTATATACATAGCAACTTGACTGAATCTTGAGGAAACTATGCAGAAGATTAATTCCGTTTATATAATAGAAATTACAACAGGGCTGGGCTCTGTGGCTCACACCTGTAATCCCAGCACTTTGGGAGGCCAAGGAGGGTGGATTGCTTGAGCCCAGGAGTCTAAGACCGGCTTGAAAAATGTGGCGAAACCCCATTTCTACAAAAAAATACAAAAATTTTCCTGGCATGGTGCGGTGCACCTGTATTCCTAGCTACTCAGGAGGCTGAGGTGGGAGGATCGCTTCAGCCCGGAGGCAGAGGCTGCATTGAGCCGTGATCACACCACTGCATTCCAGTCTGGGTGACAGAGCAAGACTCTTTCTCAAAAAGAAAAAAAGTGAAATGACAGCAGTGTGGAAGTGGAGAATGGATTTGTGGTTAGAGATCGGGTTGAGGAGGAGGGGAAATACCCATAAAATAGCAAAGTGCAGGGTTTCAGTGATGATGGATATATTCTGCATCTTCACAATATCAATGTCAATAACATGGTTGTGACATCGATATCATGCTATAGTTTTACAAGATGTTATCATTGAAGGGAACTGGGTAAAGGGTACATGGAACCATTCTACTGTTTCTTACAACTGCATGTGAATTCACAATTACCTCGAAATTTTAAATTCAATTTTAAAACTCTGAATTAAAAAAGACATCATTATGGGTTCCATTTCTATGGTACCCTGATAGTTTTTATGGAATATGAATTAGATTTGTAAGGGACCTTAGCTCTTCTAGTTTAGTGACTTGTAACATATGGTCACTGGCCAATAGGGTCCTAAAGGTAAGAATAGAGATTTATAATCCAATTTAAAATTTTTAAGTATTGATATTTGTCCTAATAAAGCTATCCCGAAACCCTTCAATCTCAAATTTATTTGCTTCGGTGTGAAATTATTTTACCTCCATTTGGTAATGTCTTTTCTCACACTAATTATATCTTCTAGTTGACAATTTATTTGACTTGG